GATAATTTACGCCATAAATAATAACCCCTCTCCAGAAGTTCCCAATGTAAGACCGAAAATTGACCAACACGATGTAGAAAATTTACAGCTTCATGATTTAGCTAACAAAAATACAATACAAATTTTCACAGAATTTGGTGTCGATGAATTTTTGAAAAATGACGTGGTAAACTGGACCGAGTCTAAAAGCTACTTAAAAGCAGAGGAAGTTTTTAAGAATCTTCGAGTTACCAATGACGTGGCAGAAAGAGGAGTTTCATTGATCCAAGACCTTAATCGCAAAATTACCCATAATGAGGATCAACTTCAGTTTCTCTTACAAGTAGTTTCTGAGCATCGGAAGATTTATCCTGATTGCAGCAAACACACTTTAAAAAAAAGCAATTCAACTTTTATATAATTTTTTAATTCTTTAGTAAGTAAAATTAGAAATGTTAAAATGATTTATATAATATAGCTTGACTTATTGATAAAAAAATATAAGAACGTATACATAAAATAGTTTTCATTATTATTTTATTTTTTTTTTAAGTTAATAATTTTCAAATAGCTTGGGATGGCTCAAAAATTAATTTTTAGTGTTTTTTTTTCTTGAGAATTGTATATAAAACCAGGTAGAACAATTTTCAAGTGTAGGAGTATAACTTAAAAAAAAAAATGTTTTTTTTGTCACTTTTAGACCACCCTAATATATATTCATTTTCAATAATTAAATGAAACAACTAAATTTATTTATGTATAAATCAGTTACACATGCTGTAATCAAATAAATCAGAAGACCATCGTGTTAATATCATCATTAACACACAATTATTTTCTTACTTCAACTTATAGTGTTGGTTTTCCTTAGAATGTGTATTACATATTAAGTAAATTTATAAATTGGATTTTTTAAACTTAATACTCATACAGAACTTTAAGTGGAGGAGTCTTATATATAATGAAATTTATAATATTTGGCATTTGGAAATAACTGAATATTTTTTATTATCTAAGTATACAAGCTACTTTCATAAAAATTGGCTTGAACTTAATAAAAGTGCTAAAAACAAAGTGTCAGGGTGATTTTATGTGAGGCTGAAAAATTAAGGTTGATCATCTTAAAATGCTTTATGAAAAACAACTCTCTAGCATTCATAATATGATTAGTTAAGTTGCCAACCCATTGTAACAGAACCCAGAAGAATGGGAAATAATTTATAAATTACTACAATTGATAAAAAAAATTATATATTAGATTTTGAAACAATACTGCCTTATTTGTATTCTGATCATAAACCAAATAATTTGAAAAAAAAAAAATAACCAATAATTTATAAACAGAAAAAGAATATTGAAATAAATTAAAATTAGAAATGTTGATATTCATTATATTAATTATACTTAAATAACTGTTTAACATTGCACTATATTATAATAAAAACAAAAATATCTGACGTAAGAAAAATAATAACTGACCTCTCTTGGAGTTTTAAAACCAAGACCAATGTTACGATAATGACGAAGAGACTTCTTCTTTTTAGATTCTTTGCGGTTCAAGAAAACAGTAGGTTGTTTTTGAAAAGCTCTTTCTGTCTACAAAACAAATATTTATGATTATTATTGTTATATAATTTTAAATTAATAGTTTAGCTTTCACTATTTTTAAAGAAATACCCATGTGGTCTACTGTTAAAAGAGAAAAACTCAAGTAATAGCCTATAAAAACAATTCAATAATTCAGGAAATATAAAATAAATTACTTGATCAGCCATGACTTGTTGAAAATTTTTAAAATTTCGCTAGAACACTTAGTTTTATTAAAACTAAGCACGGATTAAAATTCCAACAACTCAACGTCGCGCAATAACATTTAATAGAGAATCTATTAGATGATGCACAAGTGACACATAACCTAAAAACTCTTATAGCAATATTACAGCATGGAAGAATTAATTATAAGTTTTAAAAATCATGGAATAAAATAATTGTATAATAGCTGTTACTCAAATAATGAAATGCATAGGGGTTGTTAATTAAATATCAACTCATTTTATTCAATTTATACTCTTGATATTTCGTAACGTTGTTAACACATATACCTTTATCAATGAAACAAAAAATTAAATAAATAACTATGATTTCATTCCTACAAGGTATATGATAATCAGAATTACATTAACTAATCTTTCGATAAGTATTTATAAGAATATTACTATTATTATTAATTATGAATTGGTCTTGAAAAATTGTAGAAATTAAATACAGAATATCTATAATTTTGTTATTAAAGTGAAATAAAAGTAGTTTATAAAAATTTAAAAGTATAAATTTTAAATTTTTTTATTAAAGTGAATTAAAAAGTAATTTATAAAAATTTAAAAGTATAAATTTTACATGTAAAATCATAATTACTTATCTTTAAGTTCAATAATATTATAAAGTGATTATTTTAAAAAAGTTTTCTTTTTTTGATGTCTATTTCTGAACTAATAATATTATGAGTAACTTATTACTCTTCTATAAGAAGGCATAAAAGCTTATTTGGAGAGACCGATTGCAAATTGAACATATTTTTTGAATAATAATTAAGTTTTAGAAAACTTAGTTTTGTTATTAAAAATCTTGTTTATTTAAAAAAGAAATTACAATCCTTAGAATTTTAGATTTTAAAAATATTAATTTTTAAGGCATGCCTATTTATTTGGAATTGCATCCTTAATGTAAATTGTTATCTTTTTTTTTCATCCATGATAGTAGACAGTGGACACGGTTATCAGTATTTGCCTTTTGTGTTTTTACTTATTACTTTTTCCACTCTATGGGTGCCAGCTACTGTCTAGAATAACTAATTATCTGTTTTCATTAATCGTTTATTAATATATCGTTATTAAACTTTCAACTATTTTTACTGTCGTTATAAAAATTTCTTTACAGTAGATTAATGTAATCAATTAATTTAATGTTCTTTTTTTTTTAGGCATATGTGATAAAAATAAAGCGCTACGCCTTTTTATAATGCTCAATTTTTATTAATTACATTTTAATTCAAAAGCTTAACACAACAATCAGTATCCTTATAGCAAAATGGGCAGCTGTTTTAGTTGTCAAAAAGGCTCATCTAGCAAAAAAGACATAACGGGTTCACCTTCTAATGTTGGAAACAAGGATACCATAGGTTCACCAGCTATACCCAGTGTTCCTATTCAACTGCCGCCCCACGATAACATTCGTGAAGTTAGAAATGGTCCAATGCCACCTGTTCCCGATCAGGAACCTTCAAATGCAACAAATGCTTCTGCCAAAATATTCGTAGCACTCTATGATTATGATGCTCGTACTGATGAAGATCTCAGTTTTAGAAAAGGTGAACATTTAGAAATTCTCAATGATACACAAGGTGACTGGTGGTTAGCTAGAAGTAAAGCTACCAAACAAGAAGGTTATATACCATCAAATTATGTAGCAAAATTAAAGTCTATTGAAGCCGAACCTTGGTATTTTGGAAAAATTAAAAGAATTGAGGCTGAAAAAAAGTTACTTTTACCAGAAAATGATCATGGAGCATTTTTAATTCGTGATTCTGAAAGCAGAAGAAATGATTATTCTCTATCTGGTAAGTTATATAATTAATACTTAAATTTTGTGAAATATTTTTTCAGTTTATAATTTGAAACATACAATATGTAAAAGACTAAAATTTCATTATCTTAATTATTATACTAGTATAATTTAAGCCATTTTGGTTGCTTGATTAGAATATATACTAAATTTTAGTAAGACATTCCAACAGATATAAATTATATCACTAAATTTTCAACATTTTTACTATACTATTATATTAATTGATAATTTATAAAATATTAACTTATTAGTTTATTTTTAAATAAAAATTTTTTATTATTAAATTATCAAAATAAAACAACCTGTAAACATTTGAATTTTAGTTAATTTAATGATAATTTTTCACAGTACGTGATGGTGATACTGTCAAACATTATCGTATCAGACAGCTAGATGAAGGAGGTTTCTTTATTGCTCGCCGAACTACATTTAGAACATTACAAGAATTAGTAGAATATTATAGTAAAGATGCAGATGGTTTATGTGTGAATTTAAGAAAGCCATGTGTACAGGTAAATTTTATAAGATAATTTATACTTGTAGTAAACATTATAACAATACAGTTAAAATATTATTATTTTCTTATGGATATACATTATAAAAAAAAATTAGATTCATTTAGCAACTATTATATTGCAAATATTCTTAAAATATTAATCTTAGACAATATGTGTTCAATTTACAAAAAAACAATTTTTAAATTTTGGAATATATGTTTAAAAATTGTACTACCATAAGTAACATAGTTTTTCTGTATAAATTGACAAAATAACTTTTACTTTTTCTTTTTTTTTTTTAGATTGACATTTTTAATAACTTTTGATTCAACAAATATTTTGCCTTACTTTTTTTTTAATTTTTTCAATTTTAAACTTGCTTAAAATCATTTTATTGTTATTTATAAGAAAAAAATTTTTTGAAATTTTAAAACAATTTTTTAGCTATTTTCTAGGATAAATAACAATTTTAAGATAAATATTTATTATGTTACAATCATTTTAATACATATGGCGGATAAGTATAGCTCATACTGGGGTATGTTTATAATGTATACTCTTTCTACGTTACATACCCTATATATAGGTGTTTAGTAAGTAAGAAAATAGTATTCTATTGTTTTCATTGTTTATAACAATTGACCTGTTTCCTTATTTATTTAACATCTGGTATAATAAAATAATTATAACTTGAAAAATACTTATTCTAAAGACATAAAATATGGAATTTTTTTATGAACAACAACAATATTTATCATTTTTAATTTAGGTTGAAAAACCAGTTACTGGCGGTCTATCTCATAGCACAAGAGACCAATGGGAAATTGATAGATCTTCATTAAAGTTTGTTCGAAAATTGGGTCATGGTCAGTTTGGTGAAGTATGGGAAGGTTTATGGAATAATACAACACCTGTAGCAATAAAAACACTGAAAACTGGTAATTTAGTGAACAGTACCATATTAAACAAATTTACATTTTATTTTAATAAATATATTATAAAACTATTAATTATTTATAAAATTTATTGAAATAATAATTACAAATCTATAGCAAAATTAAAAAAAAAATACATTTTTTATCATGTAAAAAATTATATTATGTTTATCTGTTTGGGGTAAAATTTAAAAACCATTTGTTTGATTTATAATTCAAATAAATTATAGGCACTATGGATCCCAAAGATTTCTTGGCAGAGGCACAAATTATGAAAAAATTAAGACATACAAAGTTGATTCAATTGTATGCTGTATGTACAATGGAAGAACCAATTTATATAATTACTGAACTTATGAAAAATGGAAGTCTTCTAGAATTTTTACAAGGTATTTAAATAGTTGAATGTTCATTAATTTTATCTTTTAAAGTGTAAATTTTTGTTATTGAAACTAAGTATTATTGTAGAAAATTGTCTAATTTATTTCTTTTTAATTCCACTTTTTCTTTACACATTTTACTAAAATTTCATGTTACTTAAAACCTATTATTACCTTGCATAACTTCACATCCCTTTTTTTATTGTAGAGTAAGAATAAAATACTTAATGTTAAAAAAAAAAATTATTTAAAATTTAAATAGTTTTTAATAATTAATATTTAAAATTCTTTAGGCAAAGGTCGAGGATTAAAACTCCAACAGCTAATTGATATGGCTGCTCAGATAGCCTCAGGTATGGCATATCTTGAGTCTCAAAACTATATACATCGTGATTTGGCTGCCAGAAATGTACTTGTCGGTGAAAGTAACATAGTTAAAATAGCAGATTTTGGTCTTGCAAGACTTATTAAGGTAAATGAAGATCATAATTTTATTTAATTGAATATGATATATCCTTTTTATCTTTTAGGAGGATGAATATGAAGCAAGAGTTGGTGCTAGATTCCCAATAAAATGGACTGCTCCTGAAGCAGCAAATTACAGCAAATTTTCTATTAAATCTGATGTATGGTCATTTGGAATTTTGCTTACTGAACTTGTTACCTATGGACGTATACCTTATCCTGGTAATTATAATAATATTTTATTTTAATTTACATTTAAAGCCTCTGATATGAGAGTCATTGGTTAAATGATAAAATTTACTTTTTTATAATAATTAAAAAAAAAAATTCTAGGTATGACAAATGCTGAAGTTCTCCACCAAGTTGAACATGGCTACCGTATGCCAATGCCTCCTAATTGTCCAACTGCCCTTTATGATATTATGCTGGAATGTTGGCATAAAGATCCTATGAAAAGGCCTACATTTGAAACATTACAATGGAAATTAGAAGATTTCTTCACAATGGAGGGGTCTGAGTATAAGGAAGCTTCGGGTTACTGAGATCACGCCTACCTCTCGGAGTGGCCAATGCAACAGGCTTATGCTCTTCGTGGCGGCAATCCTCAAGCAGCTGCCATTTATATGCAACACGCTGCTGCAGTTTATCATGCCCATAGACAACAACATCTCATGCATAATATGTATCATCATCATTGATAAATTAATCTTTGACCACCATCAGTAAGTTGTACCTATGAAATTACTTATTATCATTTTATTTTTTATTTATAAACTTTTTTGTATGAATAACTTGTTTAAACTACTTAGTTTTAAATATTTCATTTAGTTTTATTACAAATCGTAAGTACTGTTGTTCAACCAATTTTTAGATTTTAACTATTAAGTATTATGTTTATTTCCTCAATTTATTAACTTTTATTAAACTATTTTTTATTCACTATTTTTTTTTATATATAAAACTTTAATTTTTATAAGTTAAATCCATAATTTTAGTAAAATTTGTTAAATAAAACTATTGTATTATTAGTTCGATAAAAATTTATAAAAATCCTATGCTGGTTCAATTTTCTTCTCATTAAATATTTTTTAACTGTGATTGTTTTGTTGTCATATTAAATTTAAAATAAAAATATTTTAATAAAATGAAAATAATTTTTGTATAATATTATTAGATAAAAAAATGTTTTAAGCAATTATATTTATATTTTTTTTAAACAGTTAGATAACTTGTGAGATAACAATTTAAGATCATATGTGTATTTAGTTCTTTTTAAATATTAAACTATATATATATATATATATATATATATATATATAATTTGATTTTATATGACCTATTAATGGAATTTGGTCTATGGACAAATAATTTGTTCTTAAAAATATCACAACATTTCTTTCAAAATAATAATTTTTAACTAGTGTTAATGTAATAAACATTTGAAGAATACTAATATACTATTATATTAATACTTTTGCATTAAGTATTATAATTTTTTTCTTAAGATTTATACTCTTATCTTTAATCTATGCATCTTAACAATCACAGATCTTATTTTATTTGTAAATTTTAACCATATATAATTATAATTTTTGTATTATTTCAATTATCTTCAATGTTATTGTCTAATCGAATCATATTTTTTTTTTTATTTATAATTTAAAAAGTATATGAATTAATAATAACAATAATGGAGGAGTACAAAACTTACCAAAAGATGTTCTAAAATAATGACGAATTAATATGATAAACAAAACGTGTTCGTATTCCCAGAGCGATTTCGAGAGGTAAAAAAAAAAAGAAAAACAATGTAAATAATTTATGAATGAACAATTTTGATTTCTTGGTAGATTTTTTTAAATAGTAGTATCATTTAAAAGTTCTCTCTTTTTTGTACTTTTGTGTGTTAGGTAGAAACATTTTTGAAGTGTACATTATTATTATTTTTTAATAGGAAATGAAAATAGTTTAAGTAAGTTGAAATCGAACAACAATTTTTGTATAAATATATATATCTGTTTTTTTTTTTTACATTTTTTATTCATATTTTTTAATTTAACACAAATTATTTGTAACAATTTTTATTTTTAGTTCCTTAATTTATATTATTTTACACACTTGTTAATTTGTATATTACAAAAGTTTATTGTGAATGAAAAAAGACGTTTATTGCTATTGTAACAACATAATACCTTTTTTATACAATTATTTATTAATTATCATTAGTATTATTGTTTCACTTATTGTGTGTATATATTAGAAATATTATAATATTAATATCATAATAATAAATTATTAACTATAACTACCAATTCACTGAATTTTAAAATAAAATAAATTATTACATTCAATAAGATCTTTTTTCAGTAAAATTTCATGATTTAAATTTTTTTCTGTTTTTATTTGACTTGGTTCTTATATTTTACTGAAGATTTTTAAAATTGTGATAGTTTTAATGAGCTAATTATTATCGTAATGTGTCATAATTATTCTTGTGTTCTAATAAAAAAAAAATTATATGAATTAATTATATTACATTATTACTTATAATTATTTTCTTTTATATTATATTATAATATAAATATTATGAAAAAATAAGTTCATGTTTTTTTTTTATACAAAATATAACTCCTAAAAAATGTAAGTATATAAGCAAATTATGCAACCACCTTACACTAAAATCTTAAATATGGCCTCGTAGACATATTTTTACTCTACAAAAGATTGATTATCTTCCTTTCACAAATATTTTTATATCACAATAAATATAATTTTCTAAATTGGAAAACTTTATTGTCTATGTGGGTTTCACTCCGAAGAGATTCACCTAGAACCGAGATCAGCGTTAGTACTAAGTTCTAATTGCTGGCACGGAGGATCAGTGAACGAGGAGCAAAAGTCGCTCCATAGTTACCGTGTCTTCAAACAGATTACCAGCGCCGGACAATTAAGTTATCCGTACTGTTCACTTCTGGTTAGCACCAACCTCGGAAACCCTGGTAGAGTTTCTGGCAGCTACTATCCAAGCCACTACGTATTATGGTATACGTAACATCCAGTTTATCTCCTCACTGGGAAAGCCCGGTAGGCGCCAAGGACAGACCAATGATCTGTCTCACGGCTGCTTTTCCTGAGGCCAGCATTTAGTCATAAACCACAAATTTACACCAGTGACAGTAACCATGGTCCAAGCCCCACTATTATCTGAGCGATAAACCTGTCTGATAACGAGTGTCGGGATGGCAGATGATGACTAGGCCATTATCTGGGGCGCCCGTCCCGCCCGTAGTACGGAAAACCTTCGTGGGGTTTTCGACTATGCGTCATCGACTTTCATCTCAGCAACTGCCTACCCAACTTGGTGCACGGGTGAGTTAGACTATTGATTGCCAACCTGGTCTGCTGGAGACTCCACCGCCCAATTTGGTCGCGTTTTATGACTAACTCAGGGCACTGCGGGAAATTCTTAACGACCCCCTTCCGCTGGGTCTAGACGGCCCTTCACTAGGCTATGATGGCAGGATGGGCTATTTTTCTTTGCCCCTTTTCCGTTAGGGTATTTCTAGAAAACACCTTGAATGGTTCAAATATCTTCCTTGTCTTAATAAGGCTCGAATAGTTTGATGGCCATAGCATTCCAGCTCTATAAAATTCTAGTTCCAACTTTTCTCTGTGCGCCTTATCAGTATGCACTCCGCGAGAGCATGCTCTGAAGTGTCGTTTGCATTTCTGCAGTCGCATAAATGGTCACGTTCAAGGTTCAGCCTATGTAGTCTTTCCTTGAAGTCGCCATGTGCCGCCATATATTGGGTTACAAAGTAATCCAGGATTATCGGTGTTCTCAATCTTACCCTAACATCTGGAATTACCAAAATGGGGAACTCTGAAAAATTTTAGGGGGCTAAAACCTTTTTCGAATGTAATTTTTCAAGATTCACCATGCGGAATTAGAGCGCATAGATTGTTGTCACAACCGTAACTGTTATGATGGAAAGAATTTCGTAGATACTGTAATCTCATATCTCATAGTTTTTTTTTATAAGTATTAACTTTATCAAAATATAATTGTGGATTAATGGATGTTCATAAATGGCTTTCTTCTTATTAAATTTCTAAAAAAGTTGAATACGTTATGTTAATGGAGAACCTATTCCCCTAATTAATTCCCATTCGATGGCCAACTGATCTGTTCATGAAAATTCTTATCTCTCGATCGACCAATTTTGTTGGGTTTTTCATCAAAAGAACCCAATATAAATCTAGTTGAACCAATAAATACAAAAAATTTGAAAAAATGTCCTTAATTTTTTTAATTAAAAAAAAAAAACCCAGCACAGTGGAGTCGCGGCATAGTGGGGACGTTGCATAGTTGGGTCCAGTATAGATTTAATCTGACAGTGATTAAAATCACTATCATAAGAAACGCTTCGATGCAAATCAGTAGATAGTGTTTAATTCTAAGAAATTGGTGGATAATTACAAAAGCTGCATGATCTGCTAGTTCCTTATTAATACCCTGATTAAGATAAAGAATTTAATTAAAATTTGTCAATTTTTAAATTTGTAATTTTTTTGGATATTTCCCCCATTTGCGGGGAACGAGGGAA